GCGGGACACCGCGGGGCACCTGTTGCCGGAAGGGAGAGACGTTTGGTCCGGCCGCGCCTCAGCTACAGGAAACTTATTCTCGCCCGCCCACGCAGCTTCGCCTCGCCCGCACGCACGGCACGCACGAACACGAAACCGAAACCGATTTCCCGGTAGGGGGGCTCTCCTTTCCACTTCGATCTCACCCCCTCACCTCCGATCGATGCCAGGACGCCCGGGACACCCGGGACACCCGGGACCTCGCCCGGCCCAACCGGCCACCGGCGGACGGGCGATGGACACCCGGGACACCCGGGACACCGCCCGGCCCAACCAGCCACCAGCGGACGGGCGACGGACTTTCGCTCCTGTTTCGGCCTAGCTACAGGAAGATCACGCGCAGCTTCGCCTCGCCCGTACGCACGACACGAACACGAAACCGAAACCGATTTCCCGATGGGGGGTCTCCGTTCGACTGCGATCTCACCCCCCAACCTCCGATACATATCCATATCGGTATACATAAATATATACATATATAACCATGTGCATACACCTATACAGATGCACATACACATGTTATATATATATATTACAAATGCATATACAAATACACATACAAACACATATGCATACACATACGCCTATACCTATACTTCTACATCTACATTGACAGTTACATGTACGTTCACATTTACATGCAGATTTACATTCACACACACATATATACACTTTGCACAGGCGCAAACATATACATATGCATAACTATACATATATATGTATATATATGTGCATATACATCTACAAATTAACATGTATATTAACATGTATATACACGCATACATGTATATACGAATATACATATAGATATACTGGATTGTGGGTTAGAGGTCTCTTGGATGTCTGTTTGGATCTCGTGGTAGGCCTCTTGGAGGCAGAGGGTTAGAGGCCTCTTGGATGTTCGTTTGAATATCGTGGGAGGCTTCTCGGGGGCCTCTTGGAGGCAGTTTCGAGGCCTCATGGGGGCCTTTTGGGCTCCCTTGGGGGCCTCTTGGGGCGGAAGGCTCGACTTGTCGGTTCGCGTTCCCCTTCCTGGGCACCTCTTGGGGCCGTCTTGGGGCCCTTTTGGGCGATCTTGGGCGCCTCTTGGGCCGTTACTCTGAACTAGGGGCTCAGAAGGGGCATGTGTATAGCGAGCATAGCGAGCGTGCCGTCGGCGTCTCGGTTTCGATCGGCCGGTTCGGTTCGAACCGGCCTGTTCGGTTTCAGCCGGCCCGGTTTGGGCTCCGGTTTGGGCGGTTCGGTTGCAGGACCCGCCGGTTCACGGTTGCCAGTTCGGTTCAAACCTTTCTTGCTTGGGGGTGCTGTGCTGGACCCGTTGGGTGGGGCATCTTTGAGGAGAGCTGCACGGGTGCAGACCTTCTCACGAGAACCCCGCCCCAGTTTCGATGTGGCGCCGTCGCGCTCGGCCTGGCCCCGCGGGTGGCGCCGAGCACTCCCCGGCGAGCTTGGCGTTCAGGGAGCGCCCTCTCTCGTGCGCTGCCGCCGCCCGTCGCCGCCGCTGTGAGTGGGGCGGCGGTGCGCACGCGTTGCGATCGATAGTGCGCGCCACGCCGCCCTCCCCCCTTCCACGAGAACCAAAGAGCCCCTAACCCTAACAACACGATGAAGACGTCGCTTCAGTTAGGTCCCCGCCTTCGCATTCGGGATCAGCGACCTGGGCGTCTTGGTCCGATCCGTCTGCAGAAAAAAGACCCCCTAGTGTGCTTGGCCCTCTTAACGTAGGTCCCTCCCTAGGGGTTAGGGGTCCTTTTTTGGCCCCCCCCTCGGTCGCACCCTCTCCTTAATCTGCTCTGCTGTAGTGAGCGCCCCTCCCCCTTGTCAGTCGGCTGCCGAGCAGGGGGCCTGGTCCCCTCCCTCCCCGCCGTTCCTCGGACAGCGCAGCGCGAGTTTCGGTGCATGCGGCGACGCGTGCTGGAGAGTGCGTCAGTGGCCCGACCCTCGCTGGCAATGCAAAGTCAAGCGGTCGTGCCATTCTCATATCATCAACGAGAGATTGGTTCTGAAGCGCGCGCGCGTGCAAGGCAATATGTATGTCCATCACCCCCGAACCATCTGGAGAAGGAGACGATACCCCAATGCACGTCGAATGCGGTGTGCACTTGACAAAGTGCTGCTAGAGTGCTGGTGCACCTTGCGAATTTGTCGCGTTTGGCTTGCCTGGCCGACTTGGTGCTTTTGGAACGTTTGGCGCGCTCAGCGCACCTGGCGTGCTTGGCCACCTGGCGCACCTGGCGCATCTACGCAGCTCGCCTGGCGCGCTTGGGACAACTGGCCCGCGAGGCGCAAATGGCGCCCAGGAGTTCTTGACGCGTTTGGTGAACCAACCTGACGCACTTTGTGTGTCTTGCGCACATGGCGCGCCTGGGACACTTTGCGTTTTTCTCACCGAGCGTTTCTGGCATGCATTGCACACCTCATGTTTTTCCCCCCCTCACTAGCCCCGCTACACTCCCCCCTCCCCAATTCGCGATGCGCTCTGGCCAGGATTGTTCTTGGTGGATCCCGCCGCTGCGCTGTGGAAGACCCCCGAAGACCAGCACGTGCCGAACCGCTTCCGGACACCTCCATCGATCCTCAAATCCTGGCTTCCTCCATGCCCGAAGGAGCCCTCCGGCCCCGCACCACTCCAGAAGCTGCCCCCCCGCGCCCGCGTCCGCCAGGCGCTGCGCGCGACCGCCGAGGAGGACCGCCTCGCCTCTCTTCGGGCAGAGCCGCACCGGGGGAGGGCGCTTTCGGCGTGCGCGGCAGCCTGCCCTGTCTCGGAGCCTCTCCGCATGTGGAGCGCGAGCGGGTGGAGGAGGGCGGTTGATTTCGGGTGCTCGGCAGCGGGGGCCAAGCAAGGGGGGCGGGATAGAGCTTGGCAGGAAGGCTGCAAGCGGCACCCAGCTGCCACCGCGGGCCCGGAGGCACTGGAAAGGCACACGCTCCTTCGCCCCTATCCCCTGTTCGGCTGCCTGCGACAGGTCCCGCCACCGTGCCAGCCAAGTATTCTGGGTGGCGATGGCTCGAGGGGGCACGGGAGGCCGTCACGCGTGACATCTCGGGTTTTCAGGTCTGGGGGAACCGTGATGATGATGATGATGATGATGATGATGATGATGATGATGATGATGATGATGATGATGATGATGATGATGTTGATGATGAGGATGAGGATGAGGATGAGGATGAGGATGAGGATGAGGATGAGGATGAGGATGAGGATGAGGATGAGGATAAGGATGAGGAGGATGAGGATGAGGATGAGGATGAGGATGATGATGATGATTATGGTGGTGATGATGATGATGGTGGTGATGATGATGATTATGGTGGTGATGATGATGATGGTGGTGATGATTCTGATGATGTTGGTGGTGATGATGATGGTGGTGATGATGATGGTTGTGGTGATGATGCTGGTGGTGGTGATGATGATGGTGATGGTGGTGGTGATGGTGATGGTGATGGTGATGATACTGGTGATGGTTGATGATACTGGTGATGTGATTGTGATATTGATGGTGACAGTTGGTGATGTTGATGATGATGCTTATGATGATGACGACGACGATGCAGATAATTTTCATGATGATGGTGGTGGTGACAGTAATAAGGATGCTGCTGATGATGATGGTGATGGTGATGGTGACGGTGATGGTGACGACGATGATGATGTTGATGATGATCATGCTGATGATGCTGATGATGATGGTATGGTGACGGTGACGGTGCTGATGGTGATGAACATGATGACGATGATGATGGTGGTGATGATGGTGATAGTGATGGTGGTGATATGATGTGGTGGTGGTTGTGCTAACCGTGATGGTGGTGGTTGGTGGTGATGATGCTAACCGTGATGGTGGTGATGATGCTAACCGTGATGGTGGTGGTTGGTGGTTGTGTTGGTGATGATGGCGATGATGACGATGCTGATGATGGTAATGACGATGATGATGTTGCTGATGATGGCATGCCGTGTTGTCCAGGAGAGTGTGGCCTCTGGCGCGCGAGTTTTTGTCGCATTGCACGACGGGTTGTGGCCTCGAGTGTTCGAGCCTGTAGCCTCGTTGCAGGGGATTGTGGCCTCGAGAGCGAGGTGGCGGTGCCTTAGGCGCAGCGTGGCGCGGGGGTGGTGCACTCGGCGCAGTGTGGCGCGAGAGCAAGGGCGCCCTCGAGGGCGCGAAGTTCTTCGCGCTTCGCGCTTCGCGGTTCGGCTCCGATTTCTCCTCATCCTCCTCTTCTCCCCTGGGAGGCGGCGCGATAGCGCGAAGCGCGAAGTTGGGAGCCCCCAGAGAGGGGCGGGCCCTAGAAGATAAGATTAACCCTACCAGAGAGCACTTGGCATTCTGGCACGCCACAACGTGCCAGGGGGCACGGTGGCGGATTTTGTCCCTAACATGTTCGAGGATCAAGGTTTTTGGAGTCGTTCGCGTTTATCTTGCGCGGGAACGAAGGGAGGCGACGCGCGGTGTTGCGGATTCAGCTGTCCGAGGACTTGGGCAGGGCCGAGGGTCAGAGAGCGCCTTCCTCTGCAGGACCACCAAAAAAAGGGACGTCAAGGTGCTCAAACGCCTCGCCGGTTAAGCCGACGAAGATGTGCAACATCCAATCAATCGCGTTTGTCCAGAGTTTTGGCCTGACGCCGAATGTGGTGCATCAATTCCAGCTTGACCGAACAGGTTGGTTGCGCCCCTTGACGTCCATGTGCGGTGTTCTGCAGACCTGACACCCCAGCCCTTTTCAACTCACCGAGGACCCAACAACAGAGGATGGCTGGGGAACTGGTGATCTCCCGGTGAAGAGTCTTGGGGCGCGGCCCGTCGTCGTTCTACCTGAAAGGCTTGCGCGCGTGACTTGTTTTGGGCGCCCTCGTCCTCGGCTCTATGCACCTCCTGTCATCCCTCTCCTCCTCCTCCTCCTCCTCCTCCTCCTCCTCCTCCTCCTCCTCCTCCTCCTCCTCCTCCTCCCTCTGTAGTCACTTTGGCTCAAGCACGTCCTGTGGCCCCCCCTCGTGGGCGCGTACATGCCTCGGTCGAACTCTCCTCCTTAACGCCCCCGAGCTCGGGACCGGGGTTTAGACAATGCAGGGCGCCTGGCAGACTGCTGTGCAGCCCCCCCCGGGGCAGGCGGCATTCGAGGCGCCCCTGGCGCCCCACGCCGCTTCGTCGCCGGGCGGGGATGGCCCCAGCGTCTCCTGGGCGAGCGAGGACAGTGGCTGCTCGGACAGCCTGGACGGCTCGGAGAGCTCGCTCGGCTCCAGCGACGCCTCCGAGGCCCCGCGGTCGATCGTTCCCATTGTCGCGGTGCAGTTTCTGTACATGGTGGGCCTCGCGATGACCGTCCCGGTCTTCCCGTTCATCTGGACCTCGACGCCGATGGCCAGCGGGGACGATGTCCGGGGGGCGACCCTGCACGCCAATGGCATCTTCATAAATGCTGCTGCCGAGTTTTTTAGCGCATCTTTTCTCGGCGTACTGTCTGACCGCTTCGGGCGGAGACCATTTCTTGCACTGGCGAGTCTAGGACAGGTCATTGATTTTGCAGTCGCTGCCCTGGCCACGCCGAGACTGCGGGACATGTGTGGAGATACGTGGGGCCATTTGGAAGAACAACCTGCGCTTTATATGGTCATTGCCCGCACGTTAGCTGGATTGCTGGGCAATTTGACGATATTCGCAAAGGCTTCTGTGGCTGATCTGAATATAGCTGAAAGTTCGACGCGAAATTTTGCATTTCTCGCTGCATCTATCGGCCTTGGGTTCATTATTGGCACGCCAGTTGGGGGAATCCTCGCGAAACGGTTTGGCTTGCATGTGCCGATGACGATTGCGTCTTGTCTGAACGGCCTTAGCATTGTCATTATCTGGCATATACCCGAGCCGCTCTTGGCAAAGAATCGCCGGCCAGTTGTTTGGTTGAAAGCCAACCCGTTCGGAGTTCTCTCGTTCTTGCGATCGAGCCGGTTCTTGAAATTCTTTGCTGCGATGGCTCTTCTGGACCAGTTTTCTCTAAGCCTGGTCACAACTTTGATGGTTCCATATAGTGTCACGGTGTTCGGCGTGGACAAGAGTGTTGTAACCACTTTGGTCCTCGCTTTTGGGGTGACGCAGCTGGGCTTATTTGCCTTGTTCTTACGTCGCATTGTCATGACGTTCGGCGAGATCGCCGTCATGCAGGCTGGTTACATCGTATCGTGGGCGTCGTACGTCGCGCTGGCAGTGATCTCGTACATGGGCGTATTCCCTTTGATGTATGTGGCTTGCATTCTCCTGGGCGTGGGGACCATCAGCGGTCCAACGCAGACCGCCATCGCCTCCCGCTGCGTAGGGGAGAGCGAGCAAGGGGTGTTGCAGGCGGCCAACGGCAGCCTAGACGTGGTCGGCAAGATGCTCGCCTCGGGTCTCGTGTCCCTGACGTTCAAGCCCCTGGTGCACGCTGGACAGCCAAGCGTCATTTGGTGGATCGCCTCGCTGGTGCTGCTGCCAGGCGTGGCTATCGCACTCAGGGTGTTGCAGCTGCTGCCGCCGGGCTTCCGCGAGGTGCGCGGCGGCGGCGCCGCGGACTGGGCCGACCAGGGCGGCAGCTCCAGCGACGCCCTGAGCCCTCGCCCCCGCTAGACTTAGAGGATGTGTCCCGATGGGCTCAGAGGATGGCGAGTTGAGGCCCGGCCAGACGCAGCTCGGACATTTCGTGCGTTTGGACCCCAGAAGTGGCGGAGCACCAGTTTTGAGCTCCCGTTGTCTCAATCCGCCCTGCTCCGGAGCAGGGCGCAGTCTCCAGCCTGGAACACTGACCCATAATTTTGTACCGCAGCCCTCTGGCTGCGCCAGCGGCTTCCGCCGCAAATGCTCGAGTCGGAAGTCCACGATTTTGACAACGATCGCGCAGGGCTCATTTTCGGCTCCAGACTGGTTGGGCCTCGCGCGTGCGTAGCATTGTGTTGTCGTCTGGTCATGGGGCATTGATTATTATCATTAGCCGTTTGCCATCTCCTCCTACTCCTCCCACAGTCAACCCGCATAATAAGGATGGGCATCCTTCCCAAGGGTACCCTTGCATCCTTGCCTCCTCGGTCCCTCCTCGACCAGTTTCGTCAGCCGCGCCCCGCTCGAGAAGCTTCGAAATGAACGTCCAAGGCCCTTGCATCCTTATCGCGCATCCTCATGATAATTATGATTTAATCGGGCATGTCCCTCTACAGGAGGAAGATCAAAAAATAATAAAGAAATAGCTCGGGGACGAGTTGCTTTCTACCATTGTTGACTATTTTAGAATATGTTTTGACTATTCGACATGCCCGACCTAAAATTACGGGTTGACAGAACTCTCTTCTTTCAGTTCTCTCTCGGGGGCCGAGCTGCGGCCCTGGTGCGCGGGACATGGCATGTGCACCCTCTGCAGCTGCCATCCGTCGACTGTGCCAGATATCATGGCCACAGGTTGCGCGCTTCTGAAAGTAATGCTGTGTTCAGTATCCAATGCAGTGGAGACCCATGCCAAGAAACACCCTGCTTGCCTCCAGGGTGCCCTGGGTTTCTTGAGTTCGATGGCTTTGCCGTGGAAAGCGCGACGGTCCCACACCAAGAATCAGTGGACGCCCTGGGGTCTCAGAGTTGGGTTTCTTGTGGAAGGTTTCTTGTGGACTGGCCTCCACTGTAAGACAGACCAGATGCTGGTGGTGAGGGAGTGCTCATCGTATTCTGTCGTACCCTCCTCTTTCATGCTGTTCCTCCGCCTCTGGCTGCTTCTCACTTCTGCTGTTTCCTGATCCTCTTGTGTCCCCTCTCCGGTTTTCGGCATTTCTTGTTCCTTGCGCTCTTCCTGTGCCGTCTCCGCCTTTCTCCCTGCTGCCCTTTTCTCTCCCCCTCCTCCCCCTGCTGCTCATCTTCCCTCTGCACCTCCGTCCTCGTCATCCTCCCTCTCCCACTGTCCCTCCTCGCACCTCCACCTGCTCCTCCTACTCACTCGCCCTCCCTCCCTTCTCGACGCGCTTGTGCCGTCATGCTTTATGACGTTCCAACCTACTTTAGCCTTGATCACCAGGAAGAGCGTCGAGCACCAGGAAAGTACCGTAGCGCGAGGGTTTTCACGTGTCGGGCCCCCGGAGGCGATGCTCGTTCGACACTGTTTCGAGTCTTTCTTGGGTGCTCGAAATGATTTCTGGGATGTGGGGGCGCGCATCAAGAAACCATCTGCTTTTCGTCAGGGCATCCTTGGTTTCTTTATTCCGCGCGTTGCGCGGTGACTTTCCGCAGCCGTTGAGGCAGCTGCTGCGTTCAAGGCGCTCTGGGTTTACCCTCAGGTGCACCTCGCGCGCGGGTTTTCAGGGTCAGGTTTCTTGCGAGGGTTTCTTGCGGCCGCGCCCGCACTGTAAGTCATGCTGCTCCCCTCTCCCCGCCCGTTGTTCGGCCGAGGCTCGGCTCAGGGGGAGACCGCTGCGGGCTGGGCGCCCAGAGCACCTCCTGCGCCGGTCCTGGCGCTACCCCCCAGGCGGGGCACGATGCCAGCGGTGCCACCTGTGCCGAACGGGGTGGGCGAGGAAGAGGAGGACCCCGACGCCATTCGGCGGCGAGCGAGGGGGGGCAGCGAGAAGGAGAAGGCCTTCTCAGAAGGCGCGGAAGTCCCCCGGCCTTCTGAGAAGGTTCTCCCAAGCCTCCCAGGAAGACACGGGAAACTTCTCAGAAGGCGCGGGGGCTTCTGAGAAGTCCCGCCGCCTTCTGAGAGGGCCTTCTCCTTCTCACTTCCCCCCCTCGCTCGCCGCCGAGCAATGCACTCGAGACGTCCTCACCATGCTTGGCCAGGCGAGCCGCTGCGGACGAGGCTTTGCGAGCTATTGAACTCCACGCTGGCCAAGGCCGTGGTATCCTGTGTCGTCGTGTCCAACATTGCCCTCCTGATTGTCAGCACGGACGCGCGGGCCGCTGGCGAGGGCGAGCCATTCTCTGAGCTGCTCGACATGGGGTTCTTGGCGTTCTACTCCGTCGAGCTGCTCTTGCATCTCTATGTTGAGCGGTCTAGATTTCTCTGCTACCCCATGAATGCCTTGGATACTGTAATCGTGCTATCAGGCTTGGTCGACATTGTCCTGAGCAGCTTGTCGTTGCCGAAGCTGCAAGTGTTAACGATCGTCCGCTCCCTGAGGCTGCTGCGAGCGGCGAAGCTGATGGAGATCTTCCCGCAGCTTTTCGCCATCGCGCACGGACTGTGGAGTACGATCGTGGCCATGACGTGGGGTTTCGTTTTCATTTCTTTTATTTAATCGCTTCGCTCATCCTAGGCTCTGCCTAAAGGGTTTCTTACTCTCTTTGCTTAAAGGGGCCGGGCAGTGCTACACGCCCCGGGCGGTTCCCCCAGTCCCCGCCCCGCGGTTCCCCCAGTCCCCTGGGAGCCTTAGCCTTAGCTTTAGCTTTGGCTTAGCTTTAGCTTTAGCTTAGCTTTAGCTTAGCTTTAGCTTAGCTTTAGCTTAGCTTCAGCTTAGTGTTAGCTTAGCTTCAACTTAGTGTTAGCTTAGCTTTAGCTTAGCTTTAGCTTAGCTTTAGCTTAGTGTTAGCTTAGCTTTAGCTTAGCTTTAGCTTAGCTTTATCTTAGGTTTAGCTTAGCTTTAGCTTAGCTTTAGCTTAGCTTTAGCTTAGGTTTAGCTTAGCTTTAGCTTAGCTTTAGCTTAGCTTTAACTTAGCTTTAGCTTAGCTTTAGCTTAGCTTCAGTTTAGCTTTAGCTTAGCTTCAGCTTAGCTTTAGCTTAGCTTTAGCCTAGCTTTAGCTTAGCTTTAGCTTAGCTTAGCTTAGCTTTAGCTTAGCTTTAGCTTAGCTTTAGCTTAGCTTTAGCTTAGCTTTAGCTTAGCTTTAGCTTAGCTTTAGCTTAGCTTTAGCTTAGCTTTAGCTTAGCTTTAACTTGTCTTTAGCTGGGCTTTAGCTTAGCTTCAGCTTAGCTTTAGCTTAGCTTTAGCTTAGCTTAGCTTAGCTTAGCTTTAGCTTAGCTTTAGCTTAGCTTAGCTTAGCTTAGCTTTAGCTTAGCTTTAGCTTAGCTTTAGCTTAGCTTTAGCTTAGCTTTAGCTTAGCTTTAGCTTAGCTTTAGCTTAGCTTCAGCTTAGCTTTAGCTTAGCTTCAGCTTAGTGTTAGCTTAGATTTAGCTTAGTCTCAGCTTAGCTTCAGCTTAGCTTTAGCTTAGCATTAGCTTAGCTTTAGCTTAGCTGTAGCTTAGCTTTAGTTTAGCTTTAGCTTAGCTTTATCTTAGCTTTAGCTTAGCTTTAGCTTAGCTTTAGCTTAGCTTTATCTTAGCGTTAGCTTAGCTTCAGTTTAGCTTTAGCTTAGCTTCAGCTTAGCTTTAGCTTAGCCTTAGCTTAGCTTTAGCTTAGCTTTCGTTTAGCTTCAGCTTAGCTTCAGCTTAGCTTTAGCTTAGCTTTAGCTTAGCTTTAGCTTAGCTTTAGCTTAGCATTAGCTTAGCTTTAGTTTAGATTTAGCTTAGCTTTAGCTTTAGCTTTAGCTTAGCTTTAGCTTAGCTTTAGCTTAGCTTTAGTTTAGCTTTAGCTTAGCGTCAGTTTAGCTTTAGCCCAGCTTTAACTTAGTGTTAGCTTAGGCTTAGCTTAGCTTTAGCTTATCTTTAGCTTAGCTTCAGCTTAGCTTTAGCTTAGCTTTAGCTTAGCTTTAGCTTAGCTTTAGCTTAGCTTTACTGTTACTACTAATGCTGCTTTCCTAGGGGCTCCAACTCCTAGGTAGGGTCGCACTGGGATAATTTAATCGCTTCGCTCATCCTGCCAGCCCGTATTGCCTCGCCGCTATCGTTTGTCGGGGTGTTGTTGTGAATGCGGTGCGGTTGGGCGGCTGCCATTTTTCGGAGGCGGTGGGTGGCGGGTCAGAGGCCTCACGGATGTTGGTTGGGCTCTCGTGGTTGGCCTCTCAGGGGCCTTTGGGAGGCAGTTTTGAGGCCTTTTGGGGGCCGTGTTGGGGCCTATTGGGGCCTCTAGGGGGCCTCTTGGGGCTTCTTGGGGTGCTTCTTGGGGGCCCCTTGGGGCCTCTTGGGGGCCTCTTGGGGCCTCCTGGGGGCCTCTTGGGGCTGAAGGCTGGACTCTTCGGTTCCTTGGTCACCTTCTTGGGCCCCTCTTGGGGCCATTTTGGGCCTCTCTTGGGCCGTCTTGGGCGCCTCTTGGGCCGTCTTGGGGCTGTTTTGGGGTCCTCTTGGGCCCTCTTGGGGCGATTTTGGGAGCCCCGCTGGGAAGCCGAAAAAGGAGAAACCCCTGAAATGTGTCCCAACCCCAAGGCAAATCAATGAATGTTGCCTCTTGGGGCCCTCGGGAGCGCTTTTGGAGGCCTTTGAGGGCGTCTGGAGGTCATGGTGGGCGTCTTGGAGCGATCTTGTGGCAACTCGGAGCCCTCAAGTCCTATCTTGGGGGCGTCTTGGGGACTTCTTGGCTCCTTTTGGGGCTCTCCGGAGGGCGTCGAGGGTGTTGGGCCTCTCGGGGGCCTCGTGGGAGCCTCTTGGGGGCCTCTTGGCGCCTCCTCTGGTTTTTTCGGGGCCGAGTGCTCGAAATATCCATTCGGGTTCCCCCTCTGGGCTGGCCGTCCTGAGGCCCTCCTGGGCCGTTTTGGAGGCTTCTGGGGCTGTCTTGGTGCCTTATTGGGTCGTCTTGGAGCCTTCTTGGGGACCTCTTGGGCTATCTTGGGTCGATCTTGAAGGCGTCTTGGGCCGTTGTGGGCCACGTGAAAGCCCAAGAGGCGAATGTGCTAAACATATAGGTTTCCCCCCGGGAATGGGACGATGTTTGCTTTTGGAGGGCCTCTTGGGGCGCCTCTTGGTGGCTTCTTGGGGCGTCTTGGGGGCCTCTGGGACCGTCTGGTTGCAATCTTGGGCGTTTCGGAACGATTTTCGGCGACTCTTAGCCCTCGTGGACCGTCCGGGGGGCCTTTTGGGGCCCTCTTGGTCCTATTTGGGGCCCCTGAGGCTCCAAGGGAGCGGCCGGCGCCTTTGCCCCCCCCCCCCCCTCCCCCCTCCAAACCGGCTGGATCACTCTAAAGTGAGTTGGGTGTTGCATGTGGGTGGGAACAAGCATGCATCCGCGGCTGCTTGGCTCAAAGCGGCCGGCCGTCCAGACCTCACTACACCTCAGCAATCGATACCAAAACTCCAAAACTGTTTGAGATGGCTCGCCTCTTACT